ATATAACACAATATTAACAATATATCAATGAATCCACACAAGCTGGCAGAAAGGAAAATCCATTTCAAATCCTGCATGGAATTTGCAGCAGAACATTTCATTCATACTGCAAATATGTAGAAAAGGGTTTTGTTGAACATTTTGGTTTAAATGTTAAATCCGACTATTGCACATGAAACATTACTCAGTCAGAACCTTACTGTCGAACATGATGGTACTGTAGCAGCATGATGTTATAGTTTTTTATAAAGAATAAGCAGGGACTGGGAAGCTTGTCAAGACTGCCGAGAATAAACAGTAGATGGAATAAAGTAATCATAGAAAACTTTATTCCATCTATTCCAAAACCAGCTCCAACCAACTAAAACGGGGACAAAACATCCACCATTCAGTGATCTACTGCAATGATCTTCTGCAATGCACAAAACCTTAACTAATTTGAAGTGGTTTAAGAATAAGAAGGTGAATATCTTTGAGTGCCCCAGTCAAAATGCTGATTAGAAGCCTACTGAAAATCTTTGGGAAGACCTGAGAACCGCAATCTGCACGTGACCCCCAGGCAACTTGAGAACTTGTGCAAGTGAAAAGAACAGTGGACACAAATTGCACCAAATCATTGTGTAAAGTTGGTAGAGACTTACCACAAAAGATTCAAGCTGTAATTGATATTCAGAGATCTCATTACTTATGCAATTAACATACAGTATTTTTATCTTTTTTTCTACTTAATTTTACTGAAACATATTTTTACACTTAGAAGTCTTCAGTTTAAGGATTTAAGCACTGAATCAAATATTAAGTTTAAAAAATGTGTGTGAATAATTTTGTTATTTAACAAAATGGGACACCATCGGAAGGATCTGACTGATTTTTCAAAGCACTGTATCGGATTCATCCCATATTGCTGTCATTTCTGTTGTTTGTTCTGGTTTTTAGGCTGCATGGTGGCACAGTGGTTAGTATTGCGGTCTCGCTGTGCATTTAGAAAATCAATGGATGTTTTGGTCATTGTATTATATTGAATTATTGTAGCTTTATTCATTTATGCCATTCATCTGCCAATTTTCCAGCCACCTTATCCAATACCAGATCGCAGGAGAGCCAGAGCCGAATCTAGCAAGCAACAGGCATAAGGCAGCATACACCCTGGACAGGACAGCAGCCATAAACACGCACAAACTCACACCAGGTTCAATTTTTGCAAAAGTCAATTAACTTATCAGTATGTCTGGACTGTGGCAGAAAATCAGAGCACCTGGGGGAAACCCATGCAAAAAAGAGAGAACCTATAAACTTCCCACAGATAATACACCAGACCCAGAATTCAACCCGCGGGTCAATTTTGCTCTATAAGTTGCATAAGCATGTTAGTTAGACAAGCATGTTAGCTTAAGTACAGTACATGTAAATTCATAATAGTAAAAATAATCTATTTGCAAGCTGAGACATTCTGTAGCTCCTTAAGCTTTTGAATGTTTCACTAATAATGTTTTATAATCATATGTTGTTATACTGTAGATCTTTTACTTATAAATAGCAAATCCAGACGGCATTATTTTAATGTCGGCCACAACAAACAAATTGTGCATACAGTTCTGTATTTTCTGTATCACATTCCTACACCTGGCTGTCAATAAAATGTGCTGTAGTGAGTACAGTATAGTATTTATGCCGTTACATACACAAGTATGGTATCAAGTAGAAAAAAGCTTTTTGATTGAAGCTTACTCAGACCCTTCTTTACTATGACACGTCTGCTCCTGTTCATGGATGTTAATTATGTGAATAGAACAGATGACCAGATGATGGACATTGCTTGGGAAGAATTACTGACTGTGACCTTTGATATCTGTTTGAAACTAATTATAAGTTCTTCATATTCTTGTATATTTTGATTGTGAATGTCATTTCAGTGGAAGAAAATGTTTCTGACCTTCTCTGTAAACTACTGTTGGTATTTCCTGTATTTCGAAAATACCATACAATGACCTTGGTATTTTATAAGTGAAAAATACACCTTTCCAGTGTTTTGCACTGGAATTTATTCAGGTTGTAGAATTCCACAGTCTGGACCTTCTGCATATTTATTAGAATAAACTGATATCAGAAAATATTCCCTATTTTAATGCATAATTTTGAAACAGTATTAAAGGTACAAGAAAACAATGATTTTGTGCACAGGACTCCCTGAATGTAGTTTATGCAGTCTGTTTGTAGTTTATTGAATCTGCTGCAATTCTGCAAACACCATTGTGACCTAACATCTGCGAAATTGGTACTTTCTAACCTCTGATTTAATTACTCTTGGGATAAATCTGATCTGTGCTTCAAGCACATTTTGTCCATCCATCCTTTAGTGATTCCATATCCATTATGTCTTATTGTACTGCTTTCCTGGAAGCTGTGTATCCACTAATGTTGTATTTGTTCCTCTCCATTAGCCATGTATTTTTCTATGTTCCGGTTACATCATAATCACCTGCTAATATTGAAGCTTCGTGTCTTTTCTTTCTAATACTCGTGACTATTAGATTATTCTAATACTCTAATACTCCTGACATTTAGATTTAAACAGTTAATTGCCTTTTGCTTTCAATGTTTTACTTTCCCCCTGGGTTCTCTTTTTGACTTTACTCCCTGTGCATGTTCCTTGTAATTGTCTTTATATTGCCCCCAAGTTAAAGTGATTTTGAATTTCTCCATTGAAATTTATCACCTGTGAGCAATATCAAGGTCCTGGTACTGAACAGAAGAATCAGTTTTCATAGGAACTGCATTTGTCTTAGTAGAAGTGGCTGTGATGATCCATTCATAGGATGACATCTCTTTACTAAATAAAGTGATAATAAAATAATTAAAATATTTAAAATAATGATGAATAAATAACAATGTACAGTAGTTATTTTAACTTTTTACAATAAAGGGTACTCAGTTGTCATAATTTAAAGATACAAAACATTTTAATGAAAAAATCCCAAAGTAAGATGTGATGCTTTGAATAAGGGAGTAAAAGATTAGTGGGTTTACCATCGAACGTTTAGATTAACGTTTAGAAAAGATTAACTAGGTCCCGAACTCAAAGGAATAGCTTTTGCCCCCTAGTGGCTGAAAGCGTTAAAAACATAAAAATACCTTCCCTTGCTACTGTTATTATTTCTAATATGGAAGCTATTACTATAATAATAATAGGAATACATCTTCACTTTGAGTACCATAGACCTTTGTGCTTCATTAAAAAGTTAAATTCAATCATGTGAAGACAATGTAGTATAACTTTAATAACGACGATTTGACTTAAGGTTGAAATTAAAATTGTCATCATTTTTTTAAGTCCTGGGATAGAAGCATCATACATATATATTTAATTAAAATTAATGTACTTTTTTTGTTATAACTAATTGTCTTCTTTCCACAATTTGTTGTGAGAATTGTGCCTCAACTGAGCTACAGGTAGTTTACTGACTGAACTACGTACATCCCTTCATCAGCAGCTAGAATTAATTTCTGTGCTTTTTCCACCATATAGGGGCAGGCAGATTTGCTGAAGCATGCCAAAAATGAGGTGCTGGAAAACCTGAAGCAGATCCATTATGCTGCTTTGACTTGCAACCTGTGTAAAGGGAACACTGGGACCACAGAACTGATCAAGCCCAGGCGCAGCCTAGAGGCCATTCCTGAAAAAATGACAGGAGATGAGGAGTCCGTGGATGGAGAAAACTGAAGAGCACCTGGGATGAATAGATTGAGTGACAACATCAGTTTCCTCATATATTGGAGGTGTGAAGGAAAACTAAACAGGAGAGAATTGTTTTTTTTATGCTATTATGTTTTTTTCTGTTTAGGGTATCCTAAAGCACAATCTGGAGGTTGCTGAGCAGTCTAAAAAACTGGAGCTATGAATGTAGCAGAATTCAGTGTACAAATCCGCTATTTATAGCAAAGAACGATAGTTCTTTCTGCCAAACGTGTATATATGGAGGTCTAATGTTACACTTTCAAGTGCAATGTTTTGTGTTCTTTGAATAAACTTTTTGTTTATTTTTTGTTTTAAATATAGTGTATCTAGAGGAGTTGCTTTGTTCTTTTTTAAGTATTTTGTCTAAATGTGCGTAAAATAAACCAAAAGGTTTCAACACCAAGTCCTGATGGAAGAATGCCACGTACAGTACCATGTGCTCTCTGACTATGAAATATACGGAATATCCCCTTGTAAAGCCCTTGTAGAAGAACTGGTAATGTAACCAGTTTTCCAGTTATGGGATCTGTAGCAGTACCAGTATTTTCTGGTCCCAATTTTCTGGTCTGGTCCCAATATTTTCTGCAGCATTGTAAAGAGAAATGAATTGTGCAGACTACTTTGTATAGTTATTCGAAGTAATTATTAAATGTCAGATGTTAAGTTATTCAGGTATTGTTACGGAACCTGGCAAATCTAGTTGTGGATAAATTGATTCATTTAATGAGATGTGATAGTGCCTCATTGCTGGGAATCTCCAGTTAATAAAAGAGCTATAGTAGCTGAAGCCTGAAATATTCCTGTTGATTAATTTAAAAGAAAAACATGTTGTTTTTGTAACTGGTCCATGTTTAAGGTCTGAACATTAAGGACAGTGTTATTCCTTTTTATCATTTGTCATTTCTAATAAATGCTTATCTCAGCAAGGTTAATGACCAATTTGAAACTGTTATTATACAGTATATATAAAATTGTGTGCAGTGTAACTAGGTATAAATATGACCTTTTACATTAACCCAGTTTTACTGTTCAAAGTTTTTTGTGTTTTAATCCAACCAACAGCGTAGAACAAAAAAAAAATAAAGCTGCACATAAAGAACGTTTTCTTGTCCTTTCTTTAATCCACAGATATTTAAAGACCACAAAAATAGGCAAGCATAGTCTAACAGGATTAATCCTCAATCATAATACAATGTAAAATATTTTGTGAGAAAACAAAAAAGCAAATATAACTTCACATATGCAATGTTTGTGTAGTTACTGCCAAACATGCCTTAGAACCAAAAAAGGATGCAAGACCTTATGGATTAAAAAAAAAAGTCAAAATGGTGAGAGGCATTCTATGTGAACCCGTCAAATATCATTGCATTTATCAAAATCTATGGTATGAACCAATATGCATAAAGGTCATTGAATTCAAATGTTCATCTGTAAAATTTAAAAAGATAAAGCCATCATGTTGTATCATTAATCTGATACAGGTGTGCTTGGTTTTAGGGTTAATCCTCTCCGCTGTACCCATTCAATGGGTTTCTCAAAAACACCCCTATATTTTGAATTGCTTATTTCATATATTATACAGTGACTTGGGAATACATAGAACCAAACAATAAATGTAAATTGGTAGGAATAGAAATCATCTTTCTTATTTTCCTGGTTTGCTAATGCATGAGTCAGAGTCCAACCCTAATCCCACCTCTTACTGAAAGAATATATTTCTCCATTTCTTGGAACAGTTGCTTATGTGCTTGTGTAAGGCTGACATTTAGAGTAAGTCTCTGCCAGAACACAGTAACTGTGCATACTAACTGCTTGTGATGTCTGAAATTATCATAATAATGATCATTCACAGATCATCATCACATGCAGATAAGAAAGAAAATCTTTTGGGTTATCCAAAAGTCTTGTGATTTGCAAGACAAAAGAAATCATGACTTGCTGCAAGTTATGTTCATGTGGGTAACTGCGTCAGCATGCGTAGGCTGCAAAGGAACAAGTAATACAGTATTACATGCTGAAAAGAGCAGAAAACACAACGTTTCAGCCGTGGAACCTTCTTCAGGTGTAGCTCACACCTGAAGAAGGCTCCACGGCCGAAAAGTTGTGTTTTCTTTCTCTTTTCAGCATAGAATAAAAGTATTAGTTGTTCATGTTGCCCATGAGAGCTCACACTACATACTAGCAATTCCATTCAATAAAAATGAACAGAATAATCTGTGTTTTGTATACAGCTACTTGACAATTTTATTTACTATGGACTCTTGTTAACTAAAGTTTCAAAGTAAAAAAATGCTTTAGAAGCAACATTTTGCAAGGTTTATACCAAGACCTTGCTGTTCTGCTGAATTTTTTAAAGTAGCCCCTTAAGTAGCCCCTTTTATAAGTATAAACATTTAAAGGGGAACTGCAGTCCCAATTTTTCAGACTGGATTTTAAATCTCAGTAACAAAATAAACTGTCAGTATAGAAAACAAAGGACAAATTTCGAATTAAATACAAAATCGTGAAAGTACTGTCAGTCACCATGTTGTCACAAACTCCTGGTCTTGCCACAGTGAGAGGGAGAGTTCCCTAGAATTGTGACGTGATGAGCCCCTTCCTGTTCTCTAGTCGCTGCAATGACTAATGTAATGTGATGTACAAGCGAATAAGTACAGATTATACAGCAGACATTTCACTGTAGAAATGTGATCTGCATGCAGAGTTGATAAGTAAGTACTATCAGTCAGCAAAACCATCTCTAGTCGAGAGCAAAGTTTCAATTAGATTAAGATAGGATCACTTTATTGGCCATATACAATTTCTTGTTTAAAGAATTATACACATACCCCAACTTGCTCTCCAATAGACACACAGACAGGGAGAGAAGCTTGGGGTCAGAGCCCAGGGTCAGCCATTTATACAGCACCCCTGGAGCTGTTAGGGTTAAGGGCCTTGCTCAGGAGCCCCAATGGAGTAGGATTCCTCTGCCGGCCGCGGGATACGAACCAGCAACCTTCCAGCCACAAGCACAGATCCAAAGCCACATAGAAGGTTTGTTGCCTCATTCTGAATTGCAGAATATACCTGGAAATTTTAATCTACAGTATTTTGTAGACCAATGTGCCAATGTGCAGCATCCACCTGGATGATGTGACGGCAGCCATAGTGCACCAGAACGCTCACCACACATCAGCTATCAGTGGGGAGGAGAGACCTCCTGGGAAAAACTAAGGTTGCTGCTGGAAGAGATGTTAGTGGGAGCAGTAGGGGTTGCTCACTGTGCAGTCTGTGTGGGTCCTGATGTCCCAGAATAGTGATGGGGACACTATACTGTAAAAAGGCGCCGTCCTTCGGATGAGATGTAAAACCGAGGTCTTGACTCTCTGCGGTCATTAAAACGCCCAGGGTTTTTCTTGAAAAAATAGTAGGGGTGTAACCCTGGTGTCCTGGCCAAATTGTCCATTGGTCCTTACCAATCATGGCCTTTATCACTCTGCTCTCCTCCCCACTGATAGCTGATGTGTGGTGAGCGTTCTGGTGCACTATGGCTGCCGTCACATCATCCAGGTGGATGCTGCACATTGGTGGTGGTGGAGGGGAGTCCCCGTTACCTGTAAAGTGCTTTGAGTTGAGTGTCCAGAAAAGTGCTATATAAGTGTAAGCTATTATTATTATTTTATTATGTAAATTGGACGGTTTACAAGTTACTGTGTACATTTTACTTTTATTGTGGTTTGAAAATCAATCATCAATGCTGATTCTTTTGAATGCTGAAATAGAAAACTAACATGCTCATTACAGAAAACCCTGTGATGCTAGCAGTAAACTCAATACCTACCCTCAGGTTATCACTTTCAACATCCTGTAATGAAATAATTATTGTGTTGATATTTATTTTAAATAATAAATCATAAGTAACCAAGGAACAACAAATCAAATGATTATTTCTGCTATATTTCAAAGTACATATGACAAAATACCCTTTGATCAAAATGTTTTCAAAAAAATTACTTTCTTAAGAAGCTTAGACTAAAAATGCAATGAGAAGACTTTTGCAGTACTTAGTCAAACAACTTGGAAAAAATCATCAGCAGATTCACACAGAAGAGCCAATTCAAATGCAAGTCAATACAGGGAGCAATTTAGAAGGACAATTCAATTTATGACAGTATTTTAAGGTATACATGTAGCTCTCGAGGTTTGTTTCGGTGCTGTAAAAAATTCTTTAAACAGGTGAGATGACTGACAACTAAACCACAGAAGCAGCTAATACAGTTTTCATGTCAAGTCTAAAGAGGAATCAATGTTTATTTTCTTTTCACCCTGACAGTTCGATAGAGAAAGATCACAATATTTATCTGCCTCATTAAGATCTATAGAAATGTTAGAAGAAATATAAAAATTAAGCAAGGAGGAATCCTACCTAAGAAAAGAGAGTGGAAAAATTCAGTGTTGTAAGTAGACCAAACAGTGCCTTTTGGGGGCTATAAGAGATCTGTTTCATTACTTTCCAAAAGGTGAATGCTCGTTAACATATTGGATGTTTACTGTACATTGATAAATACACAAATTACAGTGGACTACAGATGCTGAGAGAGTGGATTTCGATCTGCCAGTTTTAGATTAAATTAATAGTTATGTTAAGAGTGCAAGTACATTTTTTTAAATGTTTTTGGACTAACAACCTAATCTGTAGAAAAATGTCATGCTCAAATACAGGAGGACTCTAGTTATGAGTACAATAACTTGAAAGGTGACCTGTTTTTATTATTATATGAAACTTTTTTGTGTTATATTTACATTAAGTGGTTGTTTTCTACCTTAATTGAGAAAAGCTGTCAAACACATTGATGAAAGCATTAATATTTTATGTTTCAGATTTTAATATCTATTACTGAATAAAATCAATATTTTTTCTTGTCTTCTAAAACCAACTATAAAGAAGGCTGGGAATTATGTGAGTACAAGAGATCATTGCAAATAAACCTGGAACATTTACAGCTCACAGCAGGATGGAAAAGGATCTGAAGACTAAAATGGTTTATTACATTTTTCTTTTTTTTTTCTATAGCTCTACTACCACCAACTGAATGCTGAATGTGCTGATTTGATTGCACAACAGCTTGACTTACTGTACCAAATGTAACAAATTGTTGGCAAACATGGTATTTTACTGTATTTTTTTTACCCCTCTATTTTCTATGTACCAATTATAAGTCAACTTTGGCCATCACCGACCACTACCACTCCAGCACAAGAGAAATGCAAAACCAGCATACGGTACTGTACATGTGTCCTCTGAAACATGAACTGTGAAGCCACCTGGTTGTTTTCACACTGCAAGCCCACAGAGCATACAGCAAGGCAAAGGCATTTGACAGAAGAATAACACAGCTCCCACTGAAAATACTGCAAGCTCACCAGCCACAATCCTTCAAAATAAAGTAGAAATAAAAATAAAGTAGTAAGGAACTACTGTATATTATTCATTATGTCATTTTTGGAGGTACTTTTCATTTGTGGGAAACTAGATCCTCTTGCAAAACTCTGTTTAGAAGGATGAGACTTTAAAGTCAGTTTGACTACAAATAGCCTGTGAGCCATTTTGACTTTGAGAGGAGTGTGTTCTCTTTACACTAATGAAGTGCAAAGAGCTTCCCTCCTGTGCAGTCTAAACATGCTGTGATTGCTTCTGAAAAGGAAACAAATGATGGATAATTATTGAGGTCTTCAATAAGCAGGATTTCAATTATGTAGATGTTACTAGCAGACTTAGGACACTTTTACAATCAACCTTGAAAACACCTTTGATTTAACTCTGTTTTTCACATTACAGACCAGAAAAAAGGTATAAAGAATTTAAAGAGGTAAGAAAGAAGAATACTTCAAACAAAATCTGTATGTCAGTGGAGAAGTACTGGTCACTAGTGAAAAAGTGTTTACTAGTAAAAGCATGCCCTCAAACAATTTGTAAATGAAGGATTTAAGAAAATAGATATGAATTTCTCTGGACTCTGGGAAGAAACTCATTTGAACACAGAGAGGACATACTATCTCCACACAGTTAGTATCCCAGGAATTAAGCACAGAGACCCAGCACTGTGAGGCAGCAGTGCTAACCACTGTGCCACTGTACTGCCCCATAACAATCTTAATAAAAAAAAATGACTCTCCAATTATGCTGTAATTAGCTGTTGTACTATTGTTGACTCTTTCAAAAGCAAACGCAAAACCTGTCCCCTAATCAAGCTTGAAATTGTGATTTATGCCAAGGAATATATTTGTTTAGAACAAAATGCTAGCACAAAGGAGTGTTCTGCGTTGATATATTATTAATTGTGATTACAAGACTAAAGACTCAAGACTCTTACATGTAGTGTACAAAAAGAATGATTAGTAGATCATTTGAATGGTCACATTAACAACTGCTTTCAGGCACAAATTAAGATCTTTTCTTTGAGCTGTATATACATATTTGTATCTTCACTGCATATGCACATTTAATTTACAACAATTTTATTGACAGAAAAGCAAAGGTGTTCATTAGCATATGCTGTATATAAGTCATATACACAAAGGCAGATGCACAATGTAACAGAACAGATGTTAAAGTTGAGTGGGAGAGAAAGAGTTCCATATTCATTGCAAGGGAATGACCTAGACAGCCACTGTTTATCTCATCTCTGTATGTGGTTTATCTTTAAACTAATAAGCACCTTCTGGTAAAAATGCTTTCTGATGAACTTTTGAACTCATTTAAAGGACTGCTTTGAGTTGGAAAATGAGCACAAATCCAATAGACTATTGTGTTTCTATCTGGCACAATATTAATTTAAATTTAAATCTAATGAAAAACATCACTGCCTTCTAAGAAGAGAATCCAAATGTAATTTTGTCTACATGTGGTGAATAGTTCTTTGATCCTTTGTGTAAATTTAAAGAGATTTAAAAGAATAATTTTATGAACAAATTAAGATGTTGATGATAATGATAAAAATTTCAAAATTGAGCAATCAGATATAATGAAATTAATTATGTCACAGCTGTCTACTGAAACACTAGGAAGACATGAGAGACGGAACCAGTTAAAGAAGTATTCATATACAAACACCTTTTCCAGGAAGGGATTCACAATTTACAGACTTTTTTCCATACGAGTGAAGTATGTACTTCTAATACATCATAGAGAGCTCCAATTATTAAACAATAAGGATCTGTCAAACAGATTAAAATCAGCCAGCACCACTGTAAAGTAATAAAATCACTCATTAATACTATCTAAACCAAGAAAGCATACACTGAAAAAAAGTAAGATATAAAGTCAAAACATCATTAAATCATATAAGCAGCTATAGTATATCACCCTGCACCTCATAACTGGCAATCCACTGAAGCTAAGCAGGTGTGAGTCTGGCCAGTACCAAGATGGGAGACCTTCTGGGGAAAAACTAAGGTTGCTGCTGGAAGAGGTGTTAGTGGGAGCAGTAGGGGGTGCTTACTGTGCAGTCTGTGTGGGTCCTGATGTCCCAGTATAGTGATGGGGACAATATATCCCAATGAATACCCAAGTTGAAGATTTGCAAGCATTATACAGTACATTGTATACCCTTGATCGTCAAAATTTTAACAGCCACATCTCTACTTATACAACTGTTCCTGGAATTAAAGATTAAAGAGTCTTACCCTTGTACTACCCAAGCTGTGTTTGTGTCACTCAAGAGTATCCTGATGAGTGTAAACTTACCTCTTCTCTTCCTTGTTTAGATAATGTCAGATAAACAATACATTTATTTCTTCTAGGTAACAGTTCTTTTGTGCACATTGTAGTTGCCCAGATGTCCCAGGTAGAATGATTTCAAGCCTACCAGGATTGTTTGCAGGTACAGTAATAGCAATTAAGAAACCTTGTCTTTTTGTAGAATCAAATAGTCTGCTACTGGAAGTATACACCCATGATTATGGCATCAGTTCAAAGAATCCAAAAGGCATTGAGAACTTGGCATTTGAGAAATTAGCTCAATAAGTGAATTTCTGTTACATGTGGGATTGTGGGATGTGGTGCATGCTTACAGCAAACTATACAAATGTTCATTCTGCACATTCAAGGCCCCTCTAGACAATTCCTGATTACTCAGATGACATCTTGTATTTCCAGCAACCTTATTTACTGCATCTGTTGCAGAAAATGCCCAGGTATCTACAGTGTCAGGAACATGTCAGGACTGTGAGGATCAAACCCATAGATTCACATTTCTACTTTAACAGCCGTGATCATATTTATCTCTCCATCTGCGTTCTCATAAAGCGGTTTCGGAACTCCCATTGCAGAAAGACATCTGAAACCAAAATTATCCTGAAACTAGGATCAGACCTTCTAATCCTCTCTACTCACTTGCAAGGTTTGACTTCACACCACCTGAGAGTCAATACTGCTGCTCTCTTGCTCTCACCTCCTCTCCACTTCCAACTTTTGTTCCCTCATGCTTTATCAACTGCTGGTTTTCCTCTTTCCCTCACACCTGAAGAAGGCTCCACAACTGAAACATTGTGCCTTTTCTTTTTTTTTCCCAGCATGAAATAAACCTTTACTTGTTCCTAAGCATTCTGCTAGTTATGCTCTATATACAGTATAAATATACTGTAATTACAGTATACAGTACTGGAAATAATCATGGAAGTTAAAAAAGCTAAGTATAAAATGGTTTATACTGTTAGTACGTACAGTATAAAAGTATAAGATAAAATCCCATCTCATAGAAAATTTCAACAATCCAGTAGTCCTTTGTTGTTATTATAATAAGCTTCACTATCTACAATAAGAAAATGTGTGCATGCTACTGTAGTGCAGTGAATTCTAAGGGTCCCTATGCTTAGCAAGTGAAGGCTACTCCATGTGACAGATTGGAGCGTGACTCCAAGTTTCAGCAGGAGTTATATAAGACTAACATAAGAAACTACAGCTATTGGCAATATACTGTACTGTAAGTGGCTGAAACGGAAAGCTCAAGGTGTCCAGAAGTTAAATACAGTACCTCAGGCTACATTCTCTGCATAACAGAAGAGGTCTTGCGAATATCCTAGCTGTAAAAGTGCAGGTGTCATTACTTCTAAAACAAAATATACGGTACACACATCAGCAACCAATTAAAACAATTTCTGCTGCAATTTTCAGCCTTTTTGTTTGGTTACCTCTTCTCAGGAAAGGGTTTTGGGCAGCTACATATCCATTTAAATGATCCACAGTCACTCTGTTGGTGTGACATCTTCTTATTGATATAATCATGAAATCCAGTCATAATCTGATATACAGTATTATTCATATAACATTCGGTCATGTTACTTGCATTTGAAATGTTTTTTGTTCTTTATTTTCACAATTATTTCCAATATTTTGAGTGTACATACAGTATACGCACACACAAATATGTACAACATTCCCAGGATTTTCTTTGCATGATGTAGACACATCATGACTGATGCAAACAAACACTGACAATTGATCAAGATTGTTAGTCACATAAGTTTAATGAGGCATTTATAAATTTTCCTACATTCATGAGTAAAACTGTACACCTTAAGCAAATCCTCAAATCCAAATCATGAAAATCAAATGGACTTAAACCAGAGCAAGCAATGTATAAATTGATACTTTTGGGTCCACACATCATAATGGACACAGAGAGCTCAGGCTATATTAACATTATGCTACACATTCATTTTTAAGATATTTAATACCTAGCAATTAAATTCACTATAACAGACACCTAGTAAGTGGCAGTTTAATATAGTATATATACACTACATATCATTTTTCACAAAAGGAAATGAGATCTTGTTTGATTAAAAAATATAAAATGCTACACAACATGTAATTATGGTGGAGATGACAGCAAGGCAATAATAATTTTGAGCAGCAATGAAATGGACAAGCAATGACTGCAAAGTACAGTTCTATTACTTTTTAGTCCAGCAAGTCAAGACAAATGGTCAACCACTAAACATATCAGATATAATTGGAATTCATGTAAATCTTGTAACAGTATCCCAGGCTGGGGGGGTTTTTACAAAAGCCTCCTACATCCTTAATATACTGTACTGTGCAATGGTCCTCACACAGTTATGCTGTGCTTGTGTCATTTAACACCAACCTGTAAAGGGGTAAGGTTAAATAGTTCAATGTAAGGCACGGCAAGAAGTCAGAATGAATGTTTCATAACCCACTTCAATGTCACCAGTGGGAACATCTTGAAAAACAACGAGAAGGAGAGTTGAAAGCCACAGCAAAGCTTACATGTTCGTAGTGTGAACAGTGCCATCATCTGCTTTAATCTGAATGTCAATATGGTATGAGAAGAAAATTATTTTTTGATAAAGATTTGACAACTGAAGAAATAGATGTTTGAAAATACTACTAAAAATTCAGCTTGTGTAACTTTTTAACTCTTGTACCTTGTTTAATGTCATATACATCTTTTAACATTTCAGCAGTGATTGGCAGTGATTAGGCACTTCTGTCTCTTGGAACAGTTTTGCTATGTTATGAATTTCCTCTCTGTCCTTTAGTTCAAAATGCACTTAACTAATACTAATCTTTCAGTAAAGCTTCTTCTTGGCCATTTTGGTAGAGCTACAGTATATCATTAAAAAAAATGCAAATGTAATTGGTTGATGATTTTGCTGTAACCGACCTAGCAATATATTTTTATATGATTTTAACGACCATGTACATGTTCAATATGTTTACATCAACACTTCAAGGAGTACCAGTACCTACAGTGTAACATTGTACATATTTTAGAATTTTTATGCTTGTTTTTGTTGTAGACGTAGGTGAAGACAGTTTATATCAATTAGGAGATTAGTTAAATTGTTGTGATCTCATTTTCAAACTTCATGTGTCACCAAAACATACAGCTCTTACTCTGTTAATAGATTCAATAGAAATAAAAAAGTTTGTCACAAAAATGGCAAATAAAAGCAAAACACTGAAGGAATGAGAACAGTTCTGTTAGGGAGAACAGGTGAAGTAATGACACTCCCTTGGTACCAATTCACTGTATCTAGAAATGTCCTAGAAGCACTCCCCTTGCAGCACCACCTTCACATCAAGCTCTGCAGCTATGTTTCATAACACAGTTACAGCACCCCAGTCTGCAAATACACAATTATGTACTTTGAACATTTAGCATTTTTAGAGTTCTGATACCAGCAAGACTTTTTTGAGACCTGAATGAAGTAAACCTTTTTACAACTTTAATTTTGTACAAACTCCAAATTGCTTTGAAGGGTTTTCCTATGGATTTTCTGTCAAAGCACACCTTTTATAAGAATTACATCCATCCCAGATAATTAGATCTTTACAAGTAGTTGATTATTTAAAAAAAACCCATAAATAATAATTTTCTGTTTGATGGCAGTACTTTTCTTTAAAATCTACAAGTTAGCTAAGGGAAAAAATAAAAACATAGAATATATATATGCAGGAATTGGAAAAATCTGATTAAGCAATTTTAAATTGAAATCCAAATCAGTAAAATTGCAGATTCTCAACCCCCATTATTTTCTCAGAAGCACAAAATGCTGCTTTATACTGTATGTACAGTAGTACATGCAGGTATTAGAAGGTTGCTGCTGAAAACTTTGATACATAGATGTTAACGTGGTGATTAGAGAACAGGAAATAAAAAGCAGGAAGACTATTCAGAGCTCATACAGTATGACTGTGCAAAGACACATTAGTTCAGATTTTCAGCTGAGAGGCTCATGAGAGATCCATAGGGTTTACTATTGTAAAATCACAGTCCTTGCTGTTGCTACTGTCATCATCAGGGCTGGAACCAGAAGTGCTGCCTGAAGCAGAGGCCATGGTCATCAAAGGGTCTTGGAAGACCGCTGAGGGAGGAGCCTCTTTCTCAGGTTTTGGGGTTACCTTTACCCCCTTTGGGAAAGAAGGAACCTTTGCTGTAGAGGCTGTGATGTCTTTCTTTTCTTCTGGATCTTGCTCAACATCATCATCTTGGGAAATTAAAATGTAATCATCTGAATTTCTTCCCTCAGAGTTTAAGGAAGATTCTGATGTAGCCTTAAAGAAACACAGAAAAGAGCACACCATTAAACCTGAAGCTAATGCAAAGTCTTAAAAGTTAGAACAAAATAATTTGAAACCTAAAACAATTTGATGGGCAGGTTAACTTTACTTGTGGACTACGATACAGTGCATATAGAACATCTACAGACCCTTTCCAAAGTAACGCATTCTGTGTTCTAATAGCCTGAAATCAAGACACATTACTGTAAATCAGAATTTATTTGACCTTTATTTACATATTGTGTAACATACAAACACAAAAAAATTAATAAAAACAAATGCTCAAACATTTTGAAAAGTGATTACAAATGAAAATGGGTTGGATAAGTGTATTTACCCTTAGCATTGGCAATTGTAAATTAGCTCTGCTAAAACCATTTGCCGTCCAAATCATAAAACAATCAGTCCCTGTATGTAATCAGTCCCGTGTTCAATTCCAAATGTGTTCCCCTGTAGTGATTCTAATGATTTCAGAATAAAATCAGCTGCCTCTGCCTATGGATATAAAAAAGATTCCAAAGGCCTTAATTATCCCTAGCGACACCATCAAGACCATCATTAAGAAATAGAAGGCGAATGGTAACAGGCCTTTATGTAAAAAAACTTGTCAGTGTGCATGTGTCACAACAATATCCCAAGCTCTGCACAAGTCTGGACTGTATGGGGGGGTGGCAAGAAAAAAACAATACTCACAAAAGCCCACATTGAGTCTCGTTTGAGGTATGCAAAAAAACTCTCTGGAGATTCTACAGCTACTGTATGTGGAACAAGTTTTGTGGTCTAATGAAGCCTGGATAGAACTTTCTGCTCTAAATACATAATGTTACATTTGGCAAAAACCCAATACAGCACGTCACCAACAGAACACCATCTCTCTAAAGCACGATGGAGGCAGCGTTCTGTTATAGGTGCGCTTCTCTGCAGCAGCGACTGGGGGACAGGTCAGGATTGAATGAATGTGGGATGAAGAAAAACAGATTCTTGAAGAAAACATCATGCCCTCTGCAAGGAAACTAAAACTGAGGATGTTTACATTCCACATGACAACAAGCCTCAGCACACAGCAAACACAACAGTGGAGTTGCTAAAGACCAATAAGGTAAACATCCTACAATAAATTGCCCAATATTCAACTTGCTGTAATGTTATACAATTTGTATGGTACATACTGTATAAGTATTACTATTAAAATCTTTTCTCTTTTTTATGCAATTTACAATCTCCTAATAAATAGTTTTACCAGGATAGTCCATCATTGACAAACAACAGCTACAGCTTTCTAGAACTGTAACTGAAAAACAGAAATGTAACATTTTAAAACTGAAAGTTTAAAGGACACTGACATGACATTGACAGGATAATGGGAGACTCATTCTAAAATAGATGCAAAGGGATTTGATATATGAGTCCTCCTGCTGTTTTGAATCAGCGGGATTGTTTTGGGTAGTAGTGAGGACAAATAAAGAAATGCAAATGGTGTGTTTTAGACTTTCAGACATTACCACCCCCACTGACTCAATACATTTCTCACCAGATGACAAATAACCTGTTACTTTTCCTATAGACCAGTGGTTCTCAAACTTTTTGGACCAAGTACCACCCCTAATCCAAACAAAGCATCCACGTACCACCTACAAGTCATCATCTCATAGGAACCCCAGAAATTCTCAATGACCAACATGAGTGTGCGTGCACACACTCACACATACATATAATAAATATTATAATAATAAACTTTGATATAGCGCCTTTAAATGTGGCTT